AAATATTTTTCTTCTTCTTTTTACGTGCAACCCTTTCCTTTGCAATATTCTCCGTTTGCCTTCGCCTTTGGTATCTATGCAATCTGAATGAATGAGGTGCCGTATTGTTGAAATATTTTTTAAAGGACCAAACTACATGTACATAATAATTTACCTAATGGATTACCAAATCGACAAGTGGCAGCCTCCTATTGGGGGGGCGCCTAGGGTAAATTATTAGGTACAAGTAGAATTTTCCTTTTTCGAAAGAGATGATTTTTCTTTACACAGGCCTAACTATAGGGTCGGGACTCATTATCCCAAAAGTTTAAAGTCCAGTAAGTCCATTTATGTTAAAGAAGCCAATGAAGGAGGTCCATCCTACTTTAAAAAATAAATAATAATAATAAAACCCTATTTATATTTAATAATTAATTTTTAAGTTAGTCACTAAATTTTTGTCTAGAAATAAAACGCAAGGTTCAAGCAAAAAAAAAAGGGATAACTTAAAAGTTAAGCAAAAAATACACAAGTCCAAGAGAAATTCAAAGTCCAAAAAGGTAAAGAAGGTTGGAGGTTGAACACAAGAAAATTTCTAAAGTTCAGAGACGAAAATTTCAAGAAAAAAGTGTTCTTTATATTAAATCAAAGCAATCCCAAGTCCTCACAACTCAAGTCAAGTACCGAAGATTCAAGCAAATTTAATTGTCAACAAACGTAGAAATCTAGTATTCAAGCGAAATGACCCCTAGTCCCCAATACTCGGGTCATTAATTAGAGGATTGTGAATTTCTCGGTCATACGCGAAGTAGAGAACTATCCACCCACTTAGTAATTTTCAAAAATAAATTCTTAATATTTTATATATTTTATATACGAAAATTGTTGTACATGACCTATATCGATGGAAAAGATTTGTGTGTGAACTTGAGCAAAACAAATGTGATATTCGTGCACATTAATAATGTTTTGTCCTTTAATTTGTTTTACACGTATAATTGACACACCAACATTCAATACATGAAGTCACCATGCTCATATTGCAATCCATCCATGGTACAAGTCTCCATCAATGTTATGTAACAACATAATATGTTAAGCAAAGTCATTCGAAAGCTTGTAATGTGAAACATTCGTATGCGGCGTTTGGTCAACATTTGTAAAGACACAGCCTCATCCAAAATTGACAATTAATTGCAATTGCATCATATTAGTTGAAAGTTGAAACTATTATCTCTAAAGCAATAGTCTTCAACAAACTATAATTACGCATTGATAAATATGTACATACAGTTGAACAGTGTAAAACTATAAGTATTAAATTAAATTAAATTAAATTTTCGATACATTAAGTCTCTGTTTGGTAGAAATTAAAATTAAAATTTTAGTATATTTTGATAAAAGTTAATGAAATATGGTTGTAAAGTTGTGGATCTCATAAAATATGTGGTTAAAATTAGTTATTGACTTTAATTTAAATTTTAATTTTAATTCCTACTAATAGAGGCTAATAGATAAACACGTAATGATGTTTTGACCTAAAAAATTAATAAGCTTCTCCAGAAAATGAGATATTAATAATATTAATTAATTGGTCAAACTTTGTGATCATCACGTCACGAAAACTTATTTAGGGACAATTTAGAGGTGGAATCATTATCCTAATTACGATATTGTCCAATAACATATGAGATGCCAAAAGAATAATATATATTTTTCATTTATTCTAGTCAAATTAGGGATGACAAAAAATTCAATTGCACTACATGGCCACAGAATTCTGTCAGAATAGACACAGCCCTTGTATGCGAGGGATTAAAATCGGATTAAAATTGATAATATAGCTATTATAGTTGACTTTTATTAGTCGAGTGGGACNTTTTTTTTTTTAAATATTTTACTCATATGGGGCCCATCCCATGTGAGTTTTTGGGCAGAATTTTTTTTTAAATGGAAAAATTCCAAAAAATTAGGGTCCATTTGATTGTGATGGTGGAAAATGGATGGAAAGAAAATGAATTTAAAAAAAAAATGATTGTCCAAAACTTTTTTTCAGGGAATTGTTAATTAAATGTGTTTGATTATTATAATTTTCCACCAGAAAATTTTTAAAATTTTGGATTTTTTTGTGTCCGTTTGGCTTTGTTTTACATGAAAATTGTCCATTAAAATGATATTTTTTTCACAATTGGTTATAAATTTAGTTTCCATTGCCAAAAAGTAAAAAAAAAAAAATTCCAAAAAAATTTCATCAAATTTTAGCGTTCGTTTGACTTTGTTTTACATGAAAATTGTCTATTAAAATGAAATTTTTTTTACAATTTGTTATAAAATTTGTTTCAATTATCAAAAAAAAGAAGAAGCTAGAATTCCATTTTCCCACCAAAATGGTGAGAAAATTAATTCCACAATTTCCATGAAGATGTGAACGTGTGGAGTACAGTAAGAAAAAAATTTCATGGCAAAAAATGACTATCAAATAAGCCAAAAGATGGAAAATAGAATTATCCATTTTCCATGAAAAACCATGGTTATCAAATATAGCCTTGATGTATCACAGACCAAATTTTCAGGTAGGACATGATTATTCTCCAATGTTTTTTTTAATTTATAAGAAAATAAAAACTGTTAAACATGCTA